TTGATAATGTTCGGAACCAAGTCTTCACAAATCCGATATCCCTTCAGTGGAAGATTTCATTGGATTGCTATGAGTTCCTTCTTTGGAGGGTGCTCTGAGATTGGTCCTCAAATGGGTTCAAAATCTTCAACCTTTGTTTCTCACCTTGGTGCTTGCGGTAGTGGCGGGCACAGTATTCGTCCCCAGTGTTCATATTGCAAATGTCTTGGACATTCTAAAGATCAATGTTATTCTTTGCATGGCTTTCCAGAGAAGTCTGCTAATATGCCATAGTCTCTGGTATCTGCCACTGAGAATGAATCTATGGGAGAAAACTGCAACATTTTATTAGATAATGAGTAAATATGCACAAACCCTTTGATGTATATATAATCCTGATTATGCTGAGTGTCACTCAGGCAATTTCACAAATCCTCCAAGTCTCTTAATCTCTTCAGGACCTTGTATCAATTAGTTGCTGATGAGTTGGTAGTATACATTTTGCATCCGCGTTTCTTCTTTTTGTGGTCGACAGACCCTGAATTCATTGTTGTTTTCTATGTAAGAGTTATGCTATTTGAGCAAGTAAATATGCACAACTCTTTCATGCCTGCACATGTGGTAGTATCTTAGTTTAACTTAACCCACACTGGACCAATGTTAGACACCTTTTTCTACACGGATCAGATTTGTCCAGACCATTTGTTGTGCAGAAGGTGGAGTGTGGTGTGAGAAAATAATTTCTCATGGTTGTAAATTAAATTACAAAGACTTTTAGGAGTATGTGCCTCATTACAGGTCTCACTTTTTCATGCCATGTTTCTCCAGCTAGAATAATGCTGGATTCTATAAACTAATTATTTATGTTGGTTGTACACTATAACAATCACAAGGTGTGGTTTGTTGCAAAAAGTTGTTGATTCTGTGTAATACTGTCAATTTGTAGTGTCAAACTTAAAAATTGTATCCTTCTTTTATGCATACCTAGTTTGAGCATCAAAAGATTAAGAATTCATTTTATGAAACTCACTTCTCTGCTCACTTCTCTGAAGGGGGAAAATGAAGCTAGTTAAAATTGTTGTTGCTATCTTCATTGCTTCAGGTTGCAATAATGAAACGTGTTCGCCATCCAAATGTGGTGCTCTTCATGGGTGCGGTTACAAAACGTCCCCATCTATCTATAGTGACAGAGTATTTGCCTAGGTAAGACATCCAACTTCTTTCGTAGTTGACTTTGTTAATGAACTTTCTTGCATAAAGATTTTTTAGTGTCTTACTGTTGTTGTTTACTGGTGCATTTATTTCAGGGGTAGTTTATTCCGCCTGATACATAAGCCTGCACCTAGTGAAATTATGGATCCAAGGAGAAGATTACGGATGACTTTAGACGTGGTTTGTACCAGATATTATTATTTAGTCATGTCAATAAATTAATTTGTAGATAATATATGATTTGTCTGATTGCAGGCTAAAGGAATCAATTATCTCCACTGTCTGAAGCCTCCAATTGTGCACTGGGATCTCAAATCCCCAAATCTGTTAGTGGACAAAAATTGGACTGTAAAGGTATAATGAAACTGATTGAGCAGTTGAGCTTTCCTTTGAAACTTTTAAAATTTTTGTGCTAGTAGATGATTTCTTTTTCCATTTCATGCTCAGGTGTGTGATTTTGGATTATCCAGATTTAAGCCGAACACTTTCTTATCATCAAAATCTGTTGCTGGAACAGTAAGTCTCTCACACTGACTATGTGCATAAGCATAATGATAAAAACTTTAGTTTTCTAGTTCTCTTCCAATTAATTCATGAGTGGTCCACTGCTTCTTGGGGAAAAGAATTATTTGAGTAGCAATTTCAAGTTTGAAGTAAAGAGAGTTCAATTAGTTTTGCTGTACATGAGTGAACCTTGGTTCTCAAGTAGACAAGAGTGCTGTTACTTCTTATTGACCTTCCTCTTACAAGTTGGTATGATACAGATGAAATTATATAATCATGTTTTAGGTAGATGATTGATTACCAATGAAATTGGATCTATCATTGTCACTTGTTTGATGTTGGTTTTATCTTTTGGGTTGGAAGAATGTGCTTTTTTCAGGTGTGCTTTAAGGGAGCAAATTTATTTGTTTGTATTATCTGGCTTAGTAGGTTCTGCATGTTGGTGTGATATAGAGCCAAATTCCTTTTAATAAAAGGGGTCATTCTATTAATATTTTGCAGGTTGATCTTTCACTTCACCGTGCCTTACCTTGTGTGTAACTCTTAATTTTATTTTCAGCCTGAGTGGATGGCTCCAGAATTTCTTCGTGGAGAACCTTCAAATGAGAAGTCTGATGTTTACAGTTTTGGAGTTATCCTGTGGGAACTCGTGACTCTACAACAACCATGGAGTGGACTTAGCCATGCCCAGGTACACTTATTCAGTATTTGAGGTCTGAATTGCAGATGCTTGAAGTCGATTATTTTTATTTAATGTGATCATTTATACGGTAATAAGGATCATTTTCAAGAATTTGCTAATTTAGGACTTTAATGGAGAGGTATAAATGTGAACTTGCATATTTTCAAACAACTGCTTGGCAAAACAAAACCTGCAAAGTTTATAGGTGAATTTTGTAGAGTAATCTTCATGTGATCACTCAGGTGGTTGGAGCTGTCGCATTCCAGAATAGGAGGCTTGCTATCCCTCCGAACATCTCCCCAGTGTTGGCCTCCCTCATGGAATCTTGTTGGGCTGAGTAAGTGTTAATTATGTCATATTTTCTGGCAATTCTCAGTATGTTTATAGTACAACCGATCCATTTGGTCCAACTTTTTATTGAAAGCCTTAGTCCTGGCAAAAATGTAGATAATCATATATGTATATATATGAATCTTGATATTTCTAGTGGCTTTCCAATGTAGGATAATCTTCCTGGTTCAATGCATACCTTGTTTAGATGATTGTTAGGCTTGGTTGGGACTATTTCTGGTTTTCACTTCGTGGTAGTTTCTATTTAGTTAGTTGATTGAATGAATTTTATTTTGGAATTGTTGAGTATTGGATTAGTAAAATTGAAGCCAAGAATTAAACAAGCAGGCTAACTTCCATCGAGTAAAATAAGTTTGAAACTCTTTCTTGTGACACATTTCATATTGATTTTAGCAGTTTTCACTTCTGTTCTTAACTACAGACCTTTTATGTGTCTTACCAATTCCACCTTCTATATGGACTATGGAGAACCTTTTACTCTTAAGGAAAAAATGATCATCATTCATGTTTTATTTTGCCTTGTTAATGGTATCCTTTCTACATTTTGTAGCATTGATTTCTTTCTAATGCTTAATGCTTACTAATTTGTTGGGCAGTGAACCTGCTGATCGCCCATCTTTTACCAGCATAGTTGAGTCTCTGAAGAAGCTGCTGAAGTCACCAGCGGATGCAATAAAAATGGGTGGGACACAAGGAGTACGCTGCCCATGATTGGGGTTTTTTGTCGCTGAAATTTGTTGCTGTTGTATGGAAATGTTAATTAACAAGTAACCTGAACCCTTGGTTGCAACTCTGTATATTGGTTGCTTCCTGCTAACCCATTTTCAGAAGGGCAGTTAAAAGCCATCAAGTGTAATAACTTTAAAAGAGGTACTAATAAAGTGCTGCCTGTGTCCTACATGGTCCTGGACTGCTGAAAAGTATAAATGATGACCTCAAGCTCTTTTGTCTATAGCTTGAGAGCTATTAAATATTCGAGCACCTGTGCTTTGTGACTTGCTGCTTCCAAGCTATAATTATTTGGAGGGTGCTATTGTTTTAAGCCTGTGAACATGTAAGAATCATTAGGACAAAACATGTACAAGACATAGTTGAGAACCATGTTCTCTTAATGCTATAGTTGTAGTGCAAGTTGGCCACTTCATTCTAGTAAGACAATTGTTTGTAGTTATGGAAATTTGATTACTATTTTTCCTATCGCTTAATGTACCTAAGCATTAAAACAAAGATTTCAAATCCTTATTAAAATCGTAATTGCTGTAGTAATTTTTTACTCGATGAACTTTGGACAATAATTATGAATTAATAATTTTTAAGTGTTTCAAAATGATCAAAGTGTCAACTCAAATTAATACGTTGTCCACATATTTAATAAATGGATACTAATACTTTGAAGTCATGTTTTAATGGTGTTCTTGAATACAAATCAACTGTTAACTCAAATTAATTAGAATTTTTTTTACAACTATAAAGAATTGTTTACAGATTTTAACGTACTGTGAGTCTGTGACATTTAAAATTTCTAAATAATATCACAGCAGTAGATTAATTTACTAATAGTTCATAAAAGTTTTTTTTAAAAATAAAATAAAACAAACAATCTATTAAAAAATAATTTTGATTACATATTTTTATCATCATAACTTTAAATTAAAAATAAGTTTTGGCTTATGGAGAAATAGAACCAGGGACATTGACCATACTGACACATTTGTGATTAAAAATTATCTGTATGTCACGCTTTAATAAAATTTTGCCAAAATACCACTCGCAACGCCACCCAGCAAAAATGAACTGGATACGTGGCAGCGTCTGTATGGTTAACCATTCGAGCTGAGCAGTCCAGCGAGAATGACATGATGTTGAGACGTGGCAAGGGTACATGCATTCTCGCTGGGCAGTCCAACGAGATTAGTCATTTGAACAGCTTTTGTAGAGAATGCAGCTTTTGTAGAGAATGCCTGTACTTTTGCCATGTGTCAACATCCTTGTCATTCTCGCTGAACTGCTCAGCTAGAATGGTTGACCATGCAGACGCTGCCATGTGTCCAATCTACTCTCGCTCGGTGGCATAGCGAGAATGTGACGTGGTATTTTCACAAATTTTTTTAGTGACACGACAATCCAATAAATTTTGCCCTAAAAAATGACAAAATGGTCATTGCCAGGGCTTCTCCATGCTGTAGTAGCACTCAATAAATAATAAATCAGAGAAAAAAAAATAAATCAATAAATGGTAGTATAGTACTATTCAATAACCAAGGTGACCAGACCAAAGCTCACTCCATGATTATTAAAATGAAAGGAAAAAATATATCAAATATGGCGGCTAAAGTTAAAAAAGACTTCCAAGTCAAAGGGTGGAGTAGCAGTACTACTACTAAACAATTTCATCTCTGCACTTCCCCTATCATCTTCCCTTCACATAGAGAAAGATTCAATTCAGGATTCAAAAAAACCAAACTGAAATGGAGAACAACGAGAAAGACTCAATGGTGCACGACATCGTTTTGCAAGTCATCATTGCGTTGGTGATGGCGATCTCGTTCCTCTTCATGCACGACATACCGAAGAAGATGTGGACCAAGTTCCGCCTCAGAAACCGCGCAGACATTCAAGCGAAGCGTCACTTCGTCCAAGGAGCGCAGCTTCTGGCTCGAGCCAGATCCTCCAAATCCCGAACCCTAGCCAAGGAAGCCATAGCCGAAGCCGAACGAGCCATCTCGCTGGACCCTAGGGACGCCGCCAACTACCTCCTTAAGGCTCTCGTCCTCGATTTTCAGGGCTTCCGTACCTCCGCTCTCGATTCACTCGACGTTGCTCTCTCCCCTCTCGCTGCTAAGTCCCTCACCGATGCGGAGCGTGGCGACGCGCTTCTCAAGAGAGCCGAGTTGAAATTGGGGACGACGACTCACCGCGCCAACAACCGTGTTGACTCGGCAATCGCTGATTTGAACGAGTCGGTTAAGCTCAGCGCCAACAACGCGAGGGCTTTTTGTGTGTTGGGAGAGTGCTATGAGAAGAAGAAGATGAACGATGATGCTAGGAAGGCTTACCACGATGCTCTCCAATTGGATCCTCAATTGCGTGTGGCTCAACAAGCCCTCCTCAGGTTCGGTTCTTAAACTCAAAATTGGTCTCTAATTTTGACACCGATTTTGATATTACAGTGTCCTGTTTCGTGTTTGGATTATACTTTGCGCCTTCAAATTCGTTGAGTTAGATCTATTATTAACATATTTGGTATCCAAAAATCGTGGTTAGATTGTGTTTGAGTATGACTTTAGGTTTGGATCAAACCGTGGTTGGCGAATTATAATCCAAACATGCTAAGGCTAATGTTATTTTGGTAATTTTCCAAGTTGTACACGTTCGCAGGATTGTATCTATAATCGCTGGGTTTAGAGATGTGAGTATTGTGTGCGGTGATGTGAGCTTTGAGATGAGAAATCTTAATTCGCTTTGTACTTCTTGCTTTGAAAATTGGGAGACGGTCTTGAAATTCACGAGTACCTTTTTGTTTTATGCCACTTATCAACTTTTAGGATGCTACTTGTTATTAACATCTTCATCATTTTTACTAGTTTATTCTTTCCAGGAAACTGGTCTTTTATATAAATACACACACGTATCAAACCATGCTTACTAATTACCCAAAAAAATAAATAAATAAAAAATAAACTACTTACTGGTTGTCTATTTCAAGGACCCAATGTCAAGGCTGGGAGTGTTTTTGAGAACTATATTCCAAATCTAGTACCTAATATTTAGAATTTTATTCTACTTGTGTTTTTTTGTTTCAGATTTGTTCAACTTTATAGAGTCTTTTCCGAATCGGAGCTCGTAATAACATTTGAAACATTTAATAATCGTCCAAAAAAAATAAAAAAAATAGGTTATCTACGGTTTAATTTCAAACAGAAGAATACCGGCTTTTTTACTCCTATAACATTTTTTTTAATAATTAATTACCAAATTCACCTTTATTTCAAAAATTTAACCTCCACAACAAACATAACACTAATCTGCCCCTGTTTGACCGTTGACCATCAAGCCTACCCGGGTACACCTCTCTCTACCCGGGTATTTTTTGAAATTTTTTGCCTACCCGAGTAAGGAGGTACACCGCGTATAGTTATTGAATCTGGAAAAATAGCTGAATTATTTACCCGGGTAAATCTCTGAAATTTCAGTCTTTAACACAGGATTTCTGCAATACGATAGATCATGTTTGATGCTTTGATGTTCTGTTGGGGTATAAGTCTTTAACATAGGATTTCTATTTTCTTCTGTAATATCCCATGAAACAAAGATGGTGTAAAAATTCAAAAACAACCCAAAAAAAAAAAAAACATTACGCACTAAGAATAAAATCCGCGACGTATGGCTAATGACAAATCACACAAAAAGAATAAAGTAGCAAAGTATATATGCGATATGAGTGGATGAAATAATAAAGAAATAGTTCCATTGAAATCAGAATTTTTTTGATGGGATATCACATTTTCTATGTCGCGGAAGAAGAACGCTACTATTGTTCAATGAAGATGCATCATGAATAGAGAATGAGTCCTCCTCTTCTTTTTTTACATAAATTTACAGAAGCTGTCCTCATTTATTATGTGAACCCACGCACAAAGAAAGATCACATGGGAAACACTCTTAGCGCTGTTTCTTCCAAGTCCTTCGAATTGAGTAGAGCTCGGGGTTATACAGAAAGTAATGGAGAGTATTATGCTTTTGAGGAGCAGAGTGTGTTTTATTGCGCTGATGATAGAACCTCCAAAGCTTCAATCAAGAAGATGAGACGATTCGGCAGCAACTGCGTGGAAAAATCCATCATCTCTGTCACAAATGGTGATAACGTAAATGCGCTTTCTTCACAAATGGGGTTTATGGTAAAGATTTATCCGGGTACGCCCTTCTCTACCCGGGTAAATAATTCAACCATTTTTCCAGATTCAAGAACTATACCCAGGTACACCCCTCCTTACCCGGGTAGGCAAAAATTTCAAAAAATACCCGGGTAGGGAGGAGTGTACCCGAGTAGGCTTGATGGTCAACGGTCAAACAGAGACAGATTGGTGTTATGTTTGTTGGGCAGGTTAAATTTTTGAAGTAGTTTATAATCAAGGTCAATTTGATAATTAATTATTAAAAAAAGATTATAAGGGTAAAAAAGCCGAAGAATACCTGTGTTTTTCTGTGTCCTGAAGTTCATGTTAATGTTGTTCAGCCCATGCACAAGGCTGGCTTGTTTTGCAAATTTATATAGGTTTAATCTAACTCTAATATCAATAGTTGCGTGCTGATTTATATTCAAGATTTAAAGTTTTCTAAGCTTGCCAAAAGTTCTCAAAAGCGAATAAATCTTAGATGCATCTGTTGCACTTAGATTAAGTGTATTACACCATTGAGAGCATTACACGTCAAAGGAGAGAGAATTTTGGCTGACATGTAATGTTTTCATTGATATGATACACTGAATCTTTGGTGTAACAGTAGCACCAAAAATTTATTCCTCAAAAGCTTACGAAGGATGGTCACAAAAATGAAAAATCCTTACACATAAGAGTATAAATTTCCGTGACATGCAAAGGATGCGATTATGTTAGTTTTAGAGGGAAAAAATGACTGGTTCATGAAATAGATCGGAAAGCAAAGGAAAACAACCCCTGAAAGTTTGGACCTTTAATACGTTAAAAGGGAAGAGTCCCCGTGCCCTGCAAGTTATTTTTTTTTTTGGTAACCAAAAAATATCCCGTGCCCTGCAAGTTACCAATGAATAACTAAACTTAATTTTCTAATAGGTATAATAATCACCTTAACTTTTAATTTATTATTCCTTTTTGTCAATTACATAAAAAAGTATTTTTAAATAATGTTATATATAATAAAATAATTTAATAATTATAACACATTTTCTTGTAATAATGCATTGAACCAAACAAATATCCTATTTATTCTTAAAGATTTTAAAAGAAGAATTTCAAGAATTTTAAATGCTAACCAAATAAATCGATATTTTTATAGTATACTAAAACAGAATGTTTATCATAATATTCGTTCTCAGGAATGCATTTATATAGCTTAGAACAAAGGCCCCTTGTGCATTAAATGAAAGCATTGAAACACTGAATATTGTGTTTTCCCTATTACCTGTTTTGAAAGTCTGTAGTAACTGTGTAATGTCCATTCTGAAATGGCGCAACACCATTAGATTTCATTGCCAATTGAAAATAAATACGAGAGGACTATCATCCTATCGAATCCTGAGAATTTATGTTAGTGGAAGGATCGCCACTATATGGATCTACTTGAATCTGATTAATTGTGTTTCTAATAAACTAGTAGGAAAATTAAAAAGTGTAAATGGAGATAATAATGTTGGAACAACCGTCCAATACGAGTTAGTTTATCACAAAATACTTCATCTACATTTATTTTTGAATTTTTCACTCCTATTGATAAGATAACACCAATCTGACCTTCAAGGATTGCGTGTAGAGGCAATAGTATAACTTCCATCCCCTTCCCACTCCACTCCTGTTCAGACATACACGACCGCTGCAAGGCCTTTCCCTTGGACTGAATTTACAACTGACCTATCTGTTAGATCCACGTTACTCATCCTGAAGATATTTGCTAGTTGCTGATTTGAATCAGTAGGTACTCAGCTAGGAATGGCCTCTCCATCTGTGACCACCATTAGGTTTATGCAATGTCCAAAATACTGGTTTCAGATGTCAGGGACCAAGAGCTAAAGATTACATATAAAGATGCTTCATATGTCTCCAGCCATCAAAACTATATAAATTGAGACAAATTCATGACGAACAAGGAATATAAAAGGGCTTGCATATGCTTGAGGATCAGAACATTTGCAAATGATTAAGGCAAACACAACGCGTTTAGAATAAAGGGTATATATCACTCGTTAATGATGTAGATTGGTATTTGTATACAGTAAAAAAAAATGTTACCGACTTGTTTTACTGTACTAGCAGCTGATGAGAAAAAGAAATTGCACTTTATCATTGCAAGTATACCCAATGTGTGAATAATCTATTTGATGAAAGAGCTATACATCACATTGTACAACATCAATATCAACTACACCTTTATCCCAAATTAATTGGGATCGGTGGTAGATGAACTCGAATAAAATATACGAAAAGGTTGAAAAAAGATAATAAATAAAATAGTAGCAGAAAAAAAATATTTCGTCCATAAAATCCATGATTCTGTCAAGATAATTCTCTACCATCCAGCCACTTTAGTGCAGGCAAAACTTTGACGAGAAATAATCTGAAGTTCTCATCAGCAATTGCATTTCCTTTTATGTCTAACTCTGTCAAATTCAAACTTTCAAATATCATGAAAGCTTCCCAAAATTTTGTAGCACTGAAGCAGCCGGAAAGGATTTCAAAACGGTCCCATGCAAATTCTTCAGTATGAGACAAAGGAGAAAAGCATAGGTATCTTCTTGTGTCAATAGAGTGTAAACCTATTTCATTGTGTGAGATATTCAACACTTTAAGAGACCTAAGTAGTCTAAGAGGCCCCAGAACAGTTAAACTACGAAGTATGTTGTGACTCAAATTCAAACAAGACAAAAGTTGCATGGCCTCCAATCCTGTCAAAAGATTCGGGATGTATGAGACATTTTTCTTTCCACTTTAGATACAACAACAAATAATCAAAAGCTATAACTTCAAAAGTACATATCCAAGGATAAAACCAAATACATTTGTCAGAGCAAGAGAGTACAGACATCCTTTCAGGACTCAAATTCAATTGCATAATTTGAAACCCCAGATGGCATCTTGTGTTCAATTTTGTTTGTTTCCACAATTCATATGTAATACAAAATCTAGATTAACTTGTTTATAGTTGAGGAAATGCATATTGCATGAAACGAACAAAATCCAGAATGACAGATTGCTAAAGTACCAAAAACAAAAATAGAAGAGCATAAGTTAAAAGGTACAAACAATTTTGCTAGGAACTTAAAGAGAAAATTCAATTCATGAAAATTATACCTTCAATTGATTGAAGTTCGTTGTGGCTAAGATCTAGCATTTGCACCCACAATAGATTCTCAGTGCATCCAAACCGTGACAACGATAGATTTTGTAAACGTAGACAGACATAACCAGCAATTGTCTCTGTTGCATCTTTATGGTAGTGGCAGAATGGTAGTAAAGATTCCCTGGTCGAAGTTATCTAACAAATGACAAAAACATGAAAAGGAAAAATTAATTATTTTATGGCAGAAACAGAAAAATTTGCAACAAAAAAGGCAATGTAAACATAAGAATATACTTAAAACTGGTTGCCCACATTGAAGCATCAAAATTTAGCACAATTTTATGGAAAAACCAGTTCACTTGACAACAAATCAACAGTCATGAAGAAAATGTCATGAATAAAAGCACAAGATATTGCAATCTATGAAGCTCAGCAAGCATTTAGTTCTTTCAGAAATCATCCTAGAAATCTGAAAATATCATGTGTTTCCTGGAAATCCTCTCTGATAATCCTGATCAAACACATTTCTGATCATGTCACAGACAAAGTAAACATGTTGATTTGCAAAACATGCCTTGGGAGTACTTATGAGTATATAAAATGAAATGTTCTGTTATTCTTGCTGGCTGCCATACTGTAATGTATATTGATTGAAATTCACACCTGACATCATTATTAACAACAGTGAAAAGAGTACGGAACCAAGTAATTGTAGACATGTAATACTGAAAAAGAATAAACTACCTAATGAAGTAATATCAGGGTCAGGCTACACTTAGACATGTAATACTGAAAAAAAAAAATTACCTGATGAAGTAATACTAGACTACGCTCATCCTTATAGTATAGAGAATGTGTTGGATCTAACTTCATCAGATCATCATAAAGTTGAAGAACTTCTTCAGTATGAACCAATTTTTTAGCACGTGGAAATGATAAGGAATCAAGAGCACTCAAAAGTCTAGCAAGTGTAAGCTTTCCAATTTTACTACAAAATGCAATAAGCCAACATTTAGAAACAAAACAAGCGAAAAAGGAAGGAAAAGAACTTAGAAGGTGGCATTTCAAACAGCAAAATCATCCACTTAACAAATCAATCTTACCAGTCAAACTCTGACAATAAATCCCGAAAGTTAGTTATTTCTTTAACAATTGCCTCTGCACACCATGTGGAAGTTGCTGGAATATGACCAATCTCAGTAGTTAGTTCACCAGCGGAAACAATGAAGTCTGATTCCTGAAAATGCTCAAGTTTTTGGAAATTGTTATCCTCCCATGAAGTCATTTTTCCAGTGTGTCCTTCAGCAGGTTCTGTAGAGGCAGTCAGTTTACACAGTTTAAAGGAAATTTGGTAAGGATGGCCAGATTGATATCCATTTGAAGATACAACACCCTTAGAATGATCGATGGTAATCTCTACTGGGTAAGTTTTCGACATTTGGAGGTCAATGTTTCCCATGTTTAAATATGTAACCCAAACTTGAGCAGTATTAGAGTTGCTTGTTGAAAGCGGTTTCCAAACAAGATCCCCATTTATAAGTTCAGATTTAACAGTTACAGTGGATGAGTTGACACCTTCAACAGCTTGATTGAAATAAAGAACGATTGGAAGCGTTTCTATGTCTGATAGTGTACAATTTAACACAGATAAACCAGAACCATGAAGGCACTTGTTTCCCTGCAGAGTTATATTAGATCCATGGGAAGGCCAAGATGAAATAATTAGAGGAGCATCGGTTTTCACTGTTTGATCAATAAGCCAAAGATGATAAAACCAGCCACTCTGATCATCTGGATCCGTAAAAAGAGCATTGTGGACAAGCTCAAACTCCTCTTCCAAAATGAGCTCTTTAGGGAAATATCCTTCAGCCTTTCTTTTCAGCAAATTAGACAAAAGGATACTGAAAATTTTGCAATGGAAAATGTATCAATAAAACTAGTTATTGAAGAATCACATTTTATCCAATGAAACTCAATCTTAAAAGTAGCTGAGGATTTAAGAATTGAGTTGAATTGAAAATCTTTTGATAGGACATGGCATATCACTGTGTCAAGAACTAGAAGGGGTCATTTTAAAAATATATGCGATAATATACTATATGTTTATGCTTATCTCCATAAGAATTATGTAGAATTTTACAAAGAAGCATCATTATTGATTATGGACAAAACAAAAAAAAAAAATATTTGGATTTCTTTTCCTTTTTCAATTTAAATGTGGTAAATTTCATGAGAAATGCTTCATGTTGATTCATGGAATCAATAGTTTCTTTTCTTTCCTTTTTTATTGTGCTAGCTTTAATGTAGAGGTTTTAATTGCATTTTGATGGAAATCAACAAAAGTGTTATCACCTTGAGGGTTTTCTTTGCCAAACTATTTAATTAAAGGAGCATATCAATTATCCATTGCATAATTAATTGAATTCATCAATTTCATCTATGGGCCCATGAAACTTTTGCCTTGCTGCTGGACTGTTATATCATTTTCCTTCTCTCTCTTACAAAGTAGATGAGGCACAATAAAGCCCTATATTAGACTGTTTGGGACCAAAATGGGAAAATTTTCTATCACAACTTAACATTCAATGATTACCAAGTGCCAATACTAATTTTTTACTAAGCTTCAACAATCAGGAACTAGAGTTTCTAGTGTGCAGTAGAACATTTAAATCTTTGATGTGCCAGGCATAGATATACTAGTTATGGTAAAATCCAATATCTTTTTCCAGAAATTCTAAGATGTTGACATCCTTATCTTCCATTGTAGTCTACAAACACAGATGGACATAGGTGTTCAAGCAAACCACTGATCTCGGTGATGACTAATCAGGCTTAGTTACCAGAGGTACACATCCAAGACAGAACCCAAAAGTATTTAAAAATGCAAGGTTGATAGATAATAATGTTTGTTCCAACAGCATTCCATTAGAATAAAACAAACATGAGTGGCTAAACCAATCTCATTTGTACCATTCCAATACGTAGCAAGTTATAATTTCATCCTTTTCGAAGGCAATTAATGGAAATTTTACAAGTGCTGAAAAAACATAACCCAAGCATTAAGTAATTTAATCACTGTATAATGTCCCTTTCTAATGATTAAACATTTAAAAATGGTGATACTCATACCTACGATTGTGCCACGCAGAGTAATTGCTAAAATTGGCCCCAATCACTTCCTCCGTATATTTCAACTCATCCTCATCCGATCTTTTCATCAGTTCAGTAACAAACCTGGAACAATTATCAACAGAACACAAAGATCTTTCAAATTGCATAATTTGGATTAAAAAAATTAAATAGGGCACAAAAACGGAACAGAATAAATTTAACCTTCGGTAGTTCCACGCATGGAAATTTCGAGGATCGGCCTTCTGAAAAGCATCGAGAAGGCGCAACTCGTTATCTATGGATGAATGCCCCTTGCTTAGCACCCATTTTCGATGATGCCACGCACCGTATGACTTGAAATTCTTCCTCAACGCACTCTCAACCTAAATAACAACATCAACAACAACAATTGAAACAATTTTCACAATTTTTTTTTTAAATTAAACTGAAAACACTGTTTATAATTTTGTTTTAATTAAAAGTTAATAAATAGCCGCACCACTCTGAGCTCTTCATCGAGAAGAGATTTGATGGAGTTAGGATCAGAGAAATCTGAATGAGAGAGGAAGTGTTGGACTGCGAGTTTTCTGTAATTCCAAGCTGTGTGCCATTCTGGATTATTCTCCACTAACTTGGCGTTTGCCTCTAATGCTTCCTTAGTATATCTGCAAAAACAAAACGGATTTAACCGATTCGTATCAGAATAACACGTGGCTTCGAGAAAAGAGAAAGAGAAAGAGAGAGTGGAATAGGGATAGGGATAGGGATTGGAGAAAGAAGCAACATGCGATTGTGGTGATTGGCGAGGAAGTGAGATTGAAGTGAGCGAAGCTTTTCAGCTTTGGCTGATGAAGCTGCTGCGTCTTCTTGCTTCAACGGTTTGCGAGGACGACCGTGCATTTTTTTTTCACTCTGCTATGGCCAACCATTAAGCTACAGCTACTAATCGGAATGGGAATTCACCCATCTCAGATCTAATGTTTTCGTGAGATTCTTCTACTTGGAAGTGAGTCAGCTATAAAGTCTTCAATGGGTTTTTTTTAAAGTACCACCATTTTAGGAAGCTGAGAGGAAACAAATTACATTTTTTTTGGTAGACCAAAAAATTTACATATTTAAATAGGCAATACGATATTCACACATATGTACCACCGATACGACACGTGAAATCATGCGACATTTTGACACATCAATCTTAAAAAATTATGGATTTTGACACGCTGGAAAACTTTTTAATATTAAATAATATTTTTAATTTATATAGTGTATATTTCATTTAATATTTAATAATTTAACAAAAAAATGAAACTAAATTAATAATACTCATCAACACGTTATAAAGATGGAAGCTTTAATAAAAAAAATAAGAACTGGGATGAGAGCGATATAATATCAGATAGAGAGATCAAATCATATTAGAGAGAGATCAGCGAGAAGGAGATACAACAAGAGCGTGATAGGAATTGACAACAACGATGCTGAGATGATCTCTTATCTACTTAAGGAGAAAAAAGATAAAAAAATAAAATTGATATGATCAGGTGGAAACTTTATTAACATATTTTAATTTTTAAAAAAAATAATTTATTTTTAAAAAAATTACGAAAATGCCATTTGACCGTGTCGGACACGATCAAATTCGCATGTCGGAATGGTCAACGTGTCGAAAAAAAGTTGACCGCATGTCCGACACCGTGTCGGAGCGTGTCGCCGTGTCGAGCGTGTCGGACACGACTCTCCCTGTTTTTACAAGTGTCTGTGCTTCCTTGATTCTCACTACCAAATAATGTTATTATCAATGTTACTATCATATTTTAATCGTTGATTTTTTCCAATCAATAATTATCATTTATTGCGAATTAATTAATAATTGACTAATGAATTTGATTTTTGGAAATAATAATCGTTAATTGGCGAAAATTAACGGTTACGATATGGTACTAACATTATTTGATAATAATAATATTCTATCTCATTTAAATTACATCTTAATAATTTATTACATCTTAATAATTTAAAATTATATTTTAGATTCATCATTTTTTATTTTTTTGGTGAGAGTAAATTCATCATATTTATATATATGGGAAAAGTGTTTGTCATTTTAAATGACATAAAGTTATGTCATTTTAAGAGAGAGAGACACAAATAATTTTTTTATTTAAAATTTAAATTAAAAAAAAAACCACACACTTTCTCTCTCTCATGATTTTCATTTTTTGTGTCTATCTCTCTCCTAAAATGACATAACTTATGTCATTTAAAATGACAAACTACAAATCCTTATATATAAATATCACATCAAAAATCAAATCCTTATTTCATATGTGTATCTTTGGTACCTAGTTTACTACTTTATAAGTTGTAATGTTTAATAATTTTTTTTTATGGATGAGTGGTTTTATTATTTTTTATGAGGGAAAAGTGTTTGTCATTTTAAATGACAGAAAGTTATGTTATTTTAAGAGAGATACAGACATATAAAATATGAATTTTAAATTAAAAAAAACCACTCACTTTCTCTCTCCCATGATTTCTGTTTTTCTGTGTCTATCTCTCTCTTAAAATGACATAACTTATGTCATTTAAAATGACAAACACCAAACCCTATTTATTAATTAGTTATTTAAAATTTTAGTTAAATTTTATGTAAGTTATTGTGAGTTTTTTTAATTAAATTTTAATTAGTGATTGTAAGTTTAATATTGGAAAATTTACTATGAAACTAAATAAATATTAAATATTATTACGAGAGAGCGCGGCAGAAATCATGGAAGAAAAAAAATAATTTATATTAAATAACAATTGTTGATTTGATTCCATTGAGATGATCAAATTAGTTGTAAAAGATAATAAATTTATTTTAGTGGTAAGTGTATTTTTTTTATATCAAAAAATAATGTTGATTTGATTTTATCTATTTAATTAATTGTAAAGATGGTAAACTTTTGTGTGATAAGCGTATCGGTTACCATATTTTTAGAATGAGGATTGTTTTTCTTATGTTGCATGAGATAAAACAATCTTCAATACACATAAATTTTATATGAAATACACTTTAATTTTATTTTATTTTTCCTACTCTCTCTTCTTTTTGTGATAGTAGAAAAATTACTCTTATGCATAAGAAAAATAATTCTCTTTTAGAATATCAAACGCAGAAAAAAGAAGCAACAAAAACCTAGAAACAGAACCCGTAGCCCGTGCTGCAACGCTGCGTCGTTGACTGGTTCTCGCTGCAATTCGCCGTCACGCACTCTCCGACCGTCTGGTTGCTTCTGGGACTTGTCATTGCTTGGTTCTTCTAGTCGCACTCTACGCGTCGCTGCAACTTGTTTGAACCCTAATCCTTGTAAATTTTATTTCCTTTTTGTTTTTTGATTTTTTGATTGATGTTGCATTAATTAAATAAAAAATAATCGGATTTCTTGCACTACGCCAAATGCATCAGAGTCTGATTTGGGGTTTGTTTCAATATTACTTTGTTGAAATTTCAGTTTTGAAAATTTCGTACTTTTTAGTTTGTAGTAAACTGGCTATGGCTATCGTTCACCTTTTCAGCTTTTGTTTTTGCTGTTCTCATGCCATTTACGAGCACGGTTTAAAGCTGCCGTTTGTGAAAAATGTGTGATGGCTGTTATCCATATTGTGACTTGTGGGTTTAATTGCTTTTTGGATTCTTAGGTTGCATGGAGGATTCAGAGCAAAGGAAGAAAAGGCTGAAAGAAATGCGCTCGCAGGCTGATCAAGCTGAAGTTTCTGGTGGTGTTGAAGGTTCTGGGGTGCCTGGTATTCTCTCAAATCCCCTGATTGAAGCTCCTTCCACTACGCCATCACGGGATAAATCATATGCTGCTCCAAGATTTGACTATTATACAGATCCAATGAGTGCATTCTCTTCTAACAAAAGGAGCAATGCCAATATCCAGGCTGCACAGGAATATTTCCCACCTCCAAATTTTGGTGGTTCTCCTATGGCGCAATTTTCATCACCACATCCAGGTACTGATTTGTCTATCTGTTACTGTTCACTTGACTTCAGTATCCTTTAATTTGAGATGATTAATAAGTAACCAAGCAGACATTGCTGACCATCAGAGTCCTTATATGCATACTGGAATAAGGACTTTAGCCCTTCCCTTCTAACTCCTTTTTAGTATAGGGTAAACTGTTATTTTTTACCCCTTCAAATACTGAGTTTTCGTCGATTTAGTTCTCAGAAGATTATTTACTTCAATTGACTACAATCTACATCTAAAATTTGACCCAATTAAGAAGGAAAACAGGTCTTCCAAAGATCATGTAAATCAAATCAATTTAGATTTTAGGTTAAAGAAACTTGGTTGAGTCAAATTCGGATATCAATTGAAGTAATTTTTGGAGGATTCAATTGATGTAATTCCAATCTTTCAAGGACCATAACTTCAGTTTACTCTTTAATGTATGAGATGTTTCTCTGGTCTATTTTCATTAAACAATGGTTGACTGGAGGTATGCTGCATTGTTTTTATGAGTTATTACATGTTATTGTATTGTTATGATATTTAGTGTTAACTACAGGGAGTTTCTCTCTTGTACTCTGATCACTATGTAGATTTACCTTTTCTTTTTCCTCTCTGATAATTTACATTCATTGATTTGAAATAACAGGATCAACAAATCCACAGATGACTCCCTCTCCCACTCAAATATCGCCAGCAGCCTATAGAAATCCAGTCTGGAATGGACCTAGAAGCCCTGCTCAATATAACTTTCCATTCCGTCCATCAAGTGGGGGTATATATTCAAGTCCTAGATTTGAACCATCAGGTCGTCCTTTATATAACTCTGGACAGGGCATAATTCACCGACCCAACCACAGTCTAAATCCTTCTCCAGGCTACGGGAACCGCCCTAGCCCTAGTCGAGGGCGGGGCAGGGGGTTCTGGCACAACACCAGAAGCCCTGTTTCAGGACGGGGTAGTGGACGGGGACCGAGTTCTCATGGTCATTGGTCCAATGAGGACAGAGCTTGTGGTCCAGATCGTTTTTGCAAGAGGTCCATGGTTGAAGATCCGTGGAAGCTTTTGCAACCTGTAATATGGAAGGCAACGGATGCTTATTCAAATACTTCACATACACCTGAGAATTTAAAACCCTGGACTTCAAGGTCAACAAATACAAAATGGGGAGAATCATCAACTGCTTCTGCCAAGTCCAATTCTGAACCAAGCCTTGCTGAGTACTTGGCTGCTGCATTCAATGAAGCTGCCAAGGATGCAGAAAATGTTTGATGGCTGCTGGAAGGGCCCATCATGATGTTACTAAGGAAAAAGAATGTCCAACCAGTTAAAAAACTGCAAGTTTAAATTACAAGTCATTTCATGGATGAATGCCAAGGCTCAGCTGTGTTAGTGTTAGTGTTAGTGTTAGTGTATGTTCTATACACCAAACATCCTGAGAAGTTTTTAGGAATGTGTTCGGGTTACCTCGCATGTGCCAATTAGTTGACCTCACAGTAAATTTACTCGTGCGGTCACAATTTCCATGCATGCTCTGGCTAGAAACCGTCAAACCGCGGAACGACATTTTGAGTGCAGTTATGGTGAATTCAAGTTTACATGTTTTGTCATTGCTGAACTAGAGAGACTGACTGAAATCATTTAATGGGCTATTAGGTTCGGATTAGGCTGGGAAAACTGAATGACTTTATATATGTTGTAAAATATAATTTTTGGAATTACACTATTTTACTAGAACATCTCATTTATGCCTTTACTTGACATTATAGACCGGTGTTAATCTTTTGTTTGATTTATTACCACAAGGTATTGATATTTGAGCCAAGCTAGAAATACACTGACGAATATATGAGGAGAAATTTAAGCTAGAGCCTTGGAGGGGATATGTGATATGTATTCAACAATCAATCCACTGATCAATAATCGAACCTAAATTGGTAAAGACAAAAAAAAGCAATGCACCCCACCTCCCATCGGAAAAACAATTGGAAAACCTGATCCATGGACTGCCCCTACAACTCCCACAAATTGTAAATAACTTTCTAAGTACCCAGTGCAATATAAACTTAAGTGTACTCAACCAAAACAAATATTTAGTGTTGAACCACTAAGGTTTTTGCTCGCAATATATCTCGTCGGTGAAAGTGTGTATGAGCTGGTCCGCCAAGCTTGCTGGGTCATCAATCAACGCATCAACAAAAGCACTAACAACCCTTCTCTCCTGCTGTGTAGCCTTGAGGCTGAACCAAGTGAGAAATTTTACTCTGAAGATTTCATCTATGTGTCCTTGATGCTCTAACCATTTGACTACCCTGACAGAATACTCGTAATCATTTTCCTGCAATTGCTTTCTAGAACTCAATCCAGTAAATTGCCTCATTTCATTGGGTTTAGAAGGTGTGGAAGGTGAAACCGCAGCAAAATTTCTATATGAAAAAAGTTCGACTGATGGAGGCTTGGTGAGGAATTCTTCAAACCTGCCCCTGATGTTCAAAAAGAGGTCTTTTGCAGGATGGTCTCCAGATGATAACTTTATGTCAGAGTTGAGAGATTCTACCTGATGATTTTCAGTAGTTATCTTAATTTGGTCCTGTGCACATATGTCCACAGCTGTAACTGAGGATCTCTGAGGTGACCATCTTGTATGATTCCCACCGCGTCTAATAACTTTTGAAGGAGAAATTGTGGGTTCATAAGGTGTCACCCATTTAGCTTCTGCTGCACCCAAAATCCCTGTGCTGCTGAAGAGAGAAGCCTTGCAAAAGTACTCAGTTGAAGGATGGAGGTTTTCTAACTTGAATCTTTTCTCAGGCCTCAAAACAATGAAGGTGGGTTGTTCAGGGTAGTCCGTTGTTGATATTCGGTGCCAAAGCCTGCAGCCTAGAAAGTTCTTTAAAAGTTTATCTTTGTATTCTAGCACAATGACCACTGAGGTAGGAAGACACTCTTCAAAACGTATAGAGCATGCTGCCAAAATAAATTACAAGAAGCCAAATCAGTGTAGCTCAATAGAAAAGCAAAATTAAATAATACAGGAAAATATAATGAAATCAGTGTTATTTACTGCTGATGATATTCTCTCCCCTATAAAATGCATATAGCGGAGCGAATGTGGGGCAAATGGAAATAAGGAATAAAATTATTTGTAATAGTTTGTTAGAGTAGCATTTACAGAGGATGGAAGATGGGCTAATACTTATTTTCGTTATATCCTATATTTTTTTCTACTGAAAAGTAAGGTGAAAGGGCAATAATCATTAGCCAAAACAATATTGTTTAATGGTCCTATTAATTAACTTCTACCTCTTCGACATGATGTCATATACAAACACGTAACATAAATAAAACAACAAAAAGAATGCAACCTCATTCATCTCAGTAATTACGCCTATCATGGGACTTGGAAGGTTTAATCCTTTTGAATTTCCAAATCTGCTATAATAAGCACTAATTGAAGAAAAAGTAAAACATTTTAGTTTCCCACTACATTCCCCAAATTTCATCTCATTTTTTAAGATGATTTACCAAGCCTTTGGTGAGAATCAAGTACTCAGATACAAATAAATGTTTATAATGCTATTGATCCATAATTTCAAGAACTAACCCAGTATCTATTTGTTTATAATATTGTATAACAGCTATCAAGGCAGTTTGCACTTTGACTACTGCGCTAAAGTGTAATTAACATGAAAATCAAGATAACTTCTGGTTCTGTCTTGTAATAAGAAGCTCAATTATCTGACCTTTACAAAAAATAGAAAGCTTACTTGCTGCATCTTTCTTTTCCACACAATTAGAGAAGAGGTCAGAAAACTTTGAATCAAAACATTCAACTGCAGTGGAGCACAACTTCTGAACCTCAGCACCACATGAGAGCCTGCTCACAATTCCACGTGTCATCCTTGCATATACATGATCCAGAGGTCCCACTTCATTCTCCAGTAATTTGAGAGCAGATTCTACAATCTTCTGCACTTCCTTGTAGACTTCCGTTCCTACAAGAATTTTGTGGGCCAAAAATATTCGCAAAGAAAGTATATCCACTCTTCTTGCTTCTTTGGCAACCAATAATTGCTTTCGCCATGTCCTGTAAAATCCATATATCCATTCAAATAGTCGAGTATATTTTACATGAGGCACCTTAAACTATTGCAGAGAAACCAATATGGCTTTGGCAATAAAACTTCTTTTGTGCATAAGTTTTCCCATTAACATATGAACATATGACAAGTAATTAATAGGATTTCTCTGTGTTCGTGTGTTTATACACATACAAATTTATTAGTGTATGCTACTATCTATGCATATTTTACTTGCGCACGTGTTCGCGTTTAAAAAGCATATGACCTACTTACCTCATTAGTTCATTAATTTTTCCACAAGAAACACAATAGAAGCTTCCATCCAACTTTATTCCGCAACTGCCCTTCAAAATACCAGAAATTTGATTATTCAAGGCACATTGCAAATGGCATGACATTCCACATGACTCCTCATTGGGAAGATCAGAGCTGCAGGTCAACCACAAACTAGGATCCTTGTTATCGTCATAACAATGACATATACAACAAGAACATCTCTTGCAAAAAGAATCTTCTGGATTCAATGTAGCTCTGCATGCTACGTTCTGACACAATGTGATTTTCACTGTTTCCTCTTTACTGCTCCCGAGAGGAGCATGATGTAAATCATGAGATGGAGGTCCTCTTTTCCTTTTAGATCCAATGCAACTATTGGCAGGAGAATTGGTAGGAGTATTTTGGATGATGTGCAAATTGGATTTCTTGGAAATTATCTTCAGAAGATGTTCTATCATTTGACTCTTATTATATCCTGTGTACTTCCTCTCTTTGCCTAATTCAGCACAGATTATTTCTAGAAGTTCCCTGCGTGTAAAGGATTGAAGCATATTTGGGGCATCTTTTGATACTCTAGCAATCTCATGGACTAGCCTTTGCTTGTCTTGCAAATTCAGCTCACCACATTTTGCAGGGTCAAGAATAAAACCTGTATTGAAATATGAACAGCATTCAACTTCATTATCGCTAAAGTGCAAATAAATGAAGTTCAACATAGTCATATGGAAATCTTTTAACAAATTTACAAAGTTCATGACTGTCCTCTAGCAAATTAAAAAGTGTATTTATCATCTGCCAAAAATATCTATGATGTATAAACAACATAGTAGTTAATAGCGCCGCAATAGCACCGTGAGCTGCGCCGTATGGGCGTTGTGGTGCGTCGCCGCAAGAGACTGCGCCGCCCCGGAACACAATAGCAGCTATTGCGATCGCATTTGTGGCCAAATCGCGGCCATATTGCTGTCATAAAGCAAAATGTCAATGTTGTCCTAAATTTAAATGTGTAACAGAAAATTTGTAAGAGTTTTTTAGTCTATCTGCGTCTCTCTATGTCACTTATGCTATCTCTGCCTTTAAAAAATGTTTCTTTTTGTCATTATTTCTGTCATATATCTATTCCGCTATTTCCGCAACTGCAACCCACTATAACGCTATAGCGTTTCTCGGGGTTGGCCGCAACGTGCCACAATCCACATTTGATAATTTTGATAAACAATATGTCTTAATTTAGGATAACTATTATAAAAAATGAAGAATGATGACGACAAAATGTGTATGTGTTTATGGCTATGTGAGGAAGGTGAAGACCAAAAAAGAAATAAACTATTATACTTTGATTAGTATATAGTTGGTCAAACTATGCATTAGTCATAATTCATAAATTGAAGGGCTTAAGGATAACAATAGCCTGTTAAAATTTCAGGCCCCTTGCTGCTTGTTTTGTCATCCTGAATAAAAAACAGGAAATTCTCGATTACATTAACCTCTTAAGACCATTTCATACAGTTCAATTCCAATGCACATCTCATATTTGTGAATTTCAGTAGATCTAGCTAAACATATTTCCTTTATCTTTCATAATTCCTACTTTATCTCATTAAGAGCAGGACATCAAGACAGCTGGTAGGTTTGAAAACTTATAATCTCTTCCCTTTATAAGTAGACAAGGTGCCATAAGACTAAAACACCCAGAATGGGATAACAGAATAGCAGCAGTTACAGATCAATAAACACACTTCCTTTTCCTTTTCTTTCTTTTTTTTAAAAAAAAATGTTAAGGTGAAAATATTGAAATTATTCTGGACAACTCAAAATCAGCTGCATTATCAATTCCAAAATTAAAATTAGAAGTTCCAAAACTGTCAAGTAATGTCCACTAAATTTGATGCCTTCAAGAAACTATTGTGTGGAAAAACTTGTGATTCATGTATCAGGAGGACTTGCTGGAGGCATAATATGGAAAATGCACACATACTGAACTAAAAGATGTCTCAAACACCAATGAGATTTCAGGGATTTACCCATATATGTTAAGCCTTAATTTCTGTAAATGACCAAACCACATAACCCAAAACCGCTAGGGGTAGAAATTATTTTAAAAAATTGAGAGAAGTATATTTTCTACTTGACTAGTTTTACCCCCTTATTTGGTAGGTGTTCCTGTTAGGAATAATAATTAAAAAACAGACAGTCATGTAAGTACTATATACTCACTAAAGCATGAACCACTTGTTATATGAAAAAAAATCTACTTATTAGGCACTTTGCATTTAGATGGCATTAAGTAATTAGTACCATAGTGGAGAAATTAAGGATGAGAGCTTAAATAGGGAACTCCAGTCTTGTATTTAAGTGCGCTAAGAAATAAGAATCATCTTCCTTTATAGATTTCCTTTTTCTTCTAATATTTCTGTGTTAATGTGATGGAAACAGGTAGGTAAAAATAAAATCACCCAACTAAACAAGGAAATAAAGCAATGCCATAATAATAACCCAAAACCGAGAACAATAGAGAAAATTGTATAACCTACATTGTGAACAGCACAACACCCACGATCAAATAAAGGGGAATACAATGCAAAACAAAGCCATAAACGTTCAACATCGTGTTATTTTTTATACTAAAGGAAAAATAAAAAAAAAATAAAAAAAAAACTTAAACCCCAGAAACCCAGTGGAACACCGAAAAAAAACAAAAAAGGAGGAGAAAAAACTGACCTGAGGAGCCCGAGTTGGTTTCCGTTAAAACACAACTCTTCTTCTCTTCTTCGCTCATGATTCTTCACAAAGTCACAAATCAGAATATACAATTTTTATCTCAGACTCAGTCGCATTACTAAATCTTTTTCTTGTAGAAAAAAGGGTGAGTGCACTGGCATGTAATTGAGCATTCAATGCTAGGAAACAAAACTTATGCCATGATGTGTGATTTTGTATAATTAAATTCCCGAAAAAGGAAACGCTGAAACAGAATGCCACAATACGAAATATTAAAAAGTGGCTTTTAATTTTAATTTTATAATATCTATATTTTTTTACTTTTTTTCTGAGCACTTTTTATGCCCTACTCGCTGCATGAACAGCCCACGCGCCATGCTCACCTGCTCCTTTTTTTTTATTCTCTTAATTATTGAATAAATTTTATTTTTGTTTTATTAAGTTATTTGGGTTTATTTTTAAAAAAAAATTCACATAAAATTTATCATAATAAAAAAGGATGGTTTTAGTTACCACCATTTTAGCCTTAACGACAACTAAATTTTTTTCATCAAAAAATTAATAAGAGTGATAAGTTTTCTCTGATAAAAAAAATAGGATATTGTTATTATCATATCTTAATCGTTGATTTTCGTCAATCAACGGTTATTATTTTCATAAATCAAATTCATTAATTAATTATTAATTCATAATAAATGATAATATTTGATTGACAAAAATCAAAGATAAGATATAATAATAAGTGCCTGTTTGGATCCTCTCTTTTTTAAGTTAGAAGCTACTTATAAATATAAGTTAGGTCAAACAGGTTTTGAGAAAAGCTCTTATAACCAAAAGCTCTTTTTTTTATAATGAAGAAAAAAGCTGAAAACTAAAAGCTCTTAGGAGGAGCTTTTTTTAAGCTCTTGGTTTTCTTGAATTGTGTTTTTTTTTTTAAATGAAGAGTGATAAAGATAAAAAGAGAGATAATTTACTTGAGATATGTGCTTTTAAGTAATTTTTAAGCTAAAATTTTTATGTAATTTCCAAACAGCTTTTAGCTTCTTCTTTTAAGCTCTTTTTTTTTAACTTTAACTTATAAGTAGCTTCTAGCTTAAAAATAAAATCATCCAAACAGGTTCTAACATTAGTTGATAGTAAATATGTCAAAAATATTAAGATATGTGATACTCTAGCTCGAATGCCATCCATTTCTGTTTTTTAATTGGATACAGGGCTTTTGTAAGCCCAACAACTACACGGGCTCATTACTTTATCATCTCTAGACCGTTCATCACTTCAATTGTGGCCGCCAATCTAATTAGCCAAACAAAACAATTTTGGCTGAGTTGATTTTTCATTTTCCGGGGTCGTCAAAGACTTTGAGGGCTCGTTTTTTTTCTTAGGGCTCGTTTTAGGATAGGATAAATTAATTACGAGCTCTTAGGTTAACGGATAAATATTACAAAAAAAAAATGACTTTGAGGGCTCGTTTCTATTTAGGGCTCGTTTTAGGATAGGATAAATTAATTATGAGCTCTTAGGTTAACGGATAAACATAATAAATTTATTGGGGAATGTTATATTTATAAACTTTTTGTTTACAAATTCTGACAAACAACACTTTTTGTAATACACTCTTGAGTAGAGTTTTACCGGTAAGACATAGTTTAGTTTGTAAAAAAAAAAAAATTGTCAATATATCCCTATTCAAATTTATTATATTGACTTATTTTATCTTTACCTGTAGCATAATAAACTATGCTATTAGGGAATTGGGTTATGATTCAACATATAAAATAGCAAATATGACATCTATCTTATGTCGTGTAATCCTATGCTTTTTTGTTTCCAATTTTGTCTTGCAAACGTAACGGTCAGTCATAACCAATTTGACTCGACCGGCCAGGTTGACCCAAAAGTCGATGACATAATCGGTTTGAGTTAGATAACGGACCGGTTATGCAACAGATTTGATAAAAACCAGTTTGAAACCGATGACTATGTCAGCTTTTGTTAACCCGATCGGGTCATACATATTTTTAAAGAAAAAATTAAAGAGAAACAAGCCATTTTTTAAGCAACAACCAAATGCACAATTTCTAAGTTGCAATGAACCATTTTCAATTCACAAATACACATAAGAATCACACAAAAATAAAGCATGATTGAACATTTAAAGTTGAGAAAAATAAAATTGAAATGAAAATGAAAATAAAAAAAGTAATTATCTGAATCGGTCATCTCATTTGAAAATTCTACTTTAATCCAACTATGTGTATACGTTTAAAGGGAAAATAAATAAATGAAAATGCAGCTACGTATATGTGCATAAAACTGCAGCTAAAAGGTATCGGTATGAGGAGAACCAAATTTTATGGTGGTAGAACCAAATGAAAATGCAGCTACTTATATGTGCATAAACCAAATTTTATGGTTTCTGGCGTGTATACGATGGAGGAAAAATGATATGTGATTATTTGTAAAGTGCGGCCTTCTGTCTATTATAATTCAATTTAAAAAAAAAATATTAAATCAATTTAAAATTGAAAGGAATTATGAAACTAATACAGTAAAATATGCATTGGGAGGATACACGTTAAATCACGGTCATTTTGCTAAGGTTTAGCTGTGGTTAATGTTTATGCAAGGGAATTGGGTAATTTGCTATGTTAACCTGTTGTGCAAGAGGTGGGTGCATGACTGCTTTAGGTACATTTAAATAGTGCAAAATATATTGAAAATGGATCCTCTCATGTATTTTTTAACATGATCATGTTGTGAGACATTGAAATCTGTGATATCCTCTCTCTTTTTTTAACAAGTGATGGGATCTATTTTTTATGGGCTTTTAACTCCAGTAATGTCTTTTTTAATAAGTTTGTCCGGAATAATTTTTGTGTCAATAGTATTACCATTATAATGCAAAACGACGCGATATATATGCAATCGAGTTAAGACACGACATGATCGGTAACGCGTCCCTTACATTTTCAAACATCTACTGTGTGAGAATGAGAGTTGCATTTAATGTGTAATGGATGCGGTACACACAGAGACGCGTCACTTGCAATTTTCAGACACCCACTGCATTAGAATGAGTGTTGCATTGAATGAGTAAGGACGCGGTACACAGACAGCCGCATTTCTCAGTGTCAGGTTGCAGTCCAGGTGGAAACGTGTCTAAGCAAACGTGATCTATTGGATTGTCACTTATAAAACTGAGTAGTCACTTATACTTTCATTTTCCAGGTGGCTTTGATTTCACATTACAAGTAAGTATTAAATTAAATTTTAATTATTTAATTCGATCAAGCTTTAGGGTAGCCCAAAATTATTTTATTAGGGTTATCCTTGTAATTAACTTTGTAGCAAAATAAATAGAGACAAATATAAAGTTTTAATAATATAAGTGCTATTAAAGAACCTAATAATATCATCATCAAAATGCAAGGTTACTGACCTAAGATTTTAATAATATAAACATAGCACATTTAGACTTTTTTAATAATATAATAAATAAAAAATTTATGCAAGTAATTATACAACACTAATAATATAAGTAATAACAAATTATAAAATATAAATCCACTAACCTAACATTTTTAAAAAATAAATATACGAAACAACCTAATAATATCATTACTCAAATTTAAGTAATAACATAAGGTTCTAATAAATTCTAAAAAAATTTAACTTATAACATCATACTTTTTGAGCTGCCATAAATTATGATAAAATTATATAACAAGTGAGTGAGTGTGGATTTTTAGCTTCTGACAAAGTGGAAAAAATATTAGGACGAATGAAATCACAAATGAGTGGAGTTTAGGCTTTGTTTGGGAGTTTGGAAGGGAAGGAAGGAGATCTAAGGGGGAGGGAGGGGAAGGAAGGGGAGGAAATTGGAGGGTATCCCCTTCCCTTATATGGGAGTCAAAAAATGGAATGGGAGGATAATGTAGGGTCAATGAGATATTTTTACCATTCTACCTTTTTTTTTAAATTAAAATAATTATTATACTTTACAAATTAAATTAAATTTAAAATTTCTAAAAAAAATTAATCATTTAATTTTTATTAAAAAATATTCTCCCTCTAAAAATTATTCTCTCTCTAAAAATTATTTTCTCTCTCTAAAATGATAATACATAAATTATTGTTCTGATTTTAATGGGAAGGGTAAAAAAGTAATTTTAAATATTTTACCTCTTAAACCCCTTGAAATGCAACTTAAATTTTATGAAGAAGGGAGATTTTGGAGGGTTTAGTAAAAATTCTCAAAACTTTTTCCTCATTTTTTTTAACTCACAAACAAGGGAAGGACTTCCTAAAACCTTCTCTTCTCTTCCTTTCCCCTCCTAAAACCATCTCTCAAACAGACCCTTAAATTTTGATTCAATGAAAAATAATAATAATGGGACCACTCTCACACGGACAAAATAGCCACAAAAATTTCACTCTCACTAGCCCACAACGTTTCTTAAGCAAACACGTTTACACTCACTGGACAAATAAATTAGCTCCCGGACAGCATGTGCTCGGACACAAAGGAATGGGACATTCTTAAGCTGATGGAGGGGAGTTGTAAATAGGTGGTATAAGGCTTCCAAGACGCGGCATGCACATAACCACTTTCCAGACGTGATGGTCAACAGACCACGTCCCGTGCAGACGTTGGTACCTGACACTGCCAAAGGCGACAATCCATAAACCGCGTCCTTACTCATTTAGTGCAACATTCATTCTAACGCAGTGGTGTTTGAAAATTGCAAGTGACGCGTCTCTGTGTGTACCGTGTCCATTATACATTAAATGCAACTCTCATTCTCACACAATAGATGTTTGAAAATGTAAAGGACGTGTTACTGATCATGTCGTGTCTTAACTCGATTACACATATATCACTCGTTTTGCATTATAATGGTAATACTATTGACACAAAAATTATTCCGGACAAACTTATTAAAAAAGACATTACTGGGGTCAAAAGCCCATTTTTTATTGTGTCTATAGCATAAAAGATGCTATCTCATATGACATGAGAAAAGAAAAACCCATTATATATTTTATGAAAGAATGAAACTATTTTATAATAAAGATATTTTATTGGGAAATAATACTCTTATGCTACATAAGAGTACATCATTTTCCTACACTAATTCGTTTTCCGTGCCAATTAATTTTTCTTTTCTTTTTTAATATAAAATATGGGACCCACATTTAATTTCTCTCTACTTTTTTTATCTCCTACAATCCTACAACATAAGAAAACTTAAACCCTATTTTATTCCGTGATGAAAGAATAGAAAGTGATCATACAATGGGCCCAATTCTCATGTCAAGAATAATTAATATAAATAATTATTGGCCTAAACGATAAAATAGAGTTTACTGAAGGTATTTAAAGACATGACATGTTTGATTTTGCATAAATAAAGTATTAAGTTCAAAGTTTTTGTGAACGTAAAAAAATTTCAAAAAGAATAGCCTACCGTAAAAAATATATGTAATTTATTAAAAAAAAAAAAGACATATCCTTCGTATTCTTATTTCCTGAGAAAAGAAAAACTTATCTCTCTCCTGTGTGAAAGAGCCTTACTTTCTTTTTACAGCATATATATTACTACAATCCATATTTCATATTCATATCGATAACTATCATCACTTTTTTCATCATGGCTTGTGATTGCAGTGAGTCAGTGACAATGATGACAACGGCAATGATCAGTATTGAATCAAAGAATAAGGATAATTTTATCTTAAGATTAACACATATATTTAACGCTTGTTTGGACTTTGGGAGGTCTTATTTTATCTTTTTTTTTCTTCTTATAAGTAAAAGGTAAGTTAAATAAGTTTTTACAAAAAAATTATAATAAAAGAGCATTTTTTAAATTAAAAAAAGCTAAAAATTAAAAGCTCTTAGAATGAGCTTTTTCTAACTTGTATCATATATTTTTTAAATGAACAATTTTTAAGTTAAAAAATTTATAAAATAATCAAATAGTTTTTAGCTTAACTTTAGTTTAAAAATTATTATTTTTTGGTATTCTAAAAAGAATAGCTTTTATTTTTTTATTTTTTTTGAAAAAGAATAGCTTTTAACTTTAAAAAAAATGTGTCAAAAAAACTGTTAATTGTTATTTTGATATAATTCAATTAGATTACTTATTTTATTTAAAAGCACATTGCGAATACTGAAAAGTGACATACGTAGGCGAATTGTAATTTATCCAATGAATTATTGCATACTCTTTTTTAATTTTTTTTTGATATTTAAGATAAATTATTAAATATTCATTATTTATTAACTAGATCACCAAATTTTTAAATATTTATAATAAAAGAAATACCAAGAAATATTTAACAATTCACTAAAGTAATCAAATATCAGTTTAAATACCAAAACAACCTCCAATAAAATAAGAAAATGTAAAACTAATAATATTTTCCAATTTTGATTTGACATGTGATTAGTTCCCAGAGCAAAGTGCCCTTTTCATGAGCTGTGTGAGTACATTCTAAATTGAATTATTGTACTTTGGAGTTAGTACTAACCAAATGACACATCAGGTAAACCGATTTTTCCGTTTTGAATCATCCATTGTTCGTACCTTTTGAATGCCAATTGGTACTCGTTCACTTTTGGAAAAGACTTGCCCAACATAAAGTGCAATCAAGACTGATCACTAACCCTTTCGCCCTCACCGCCTAGTTTGTTGCTTTCAATGCGTGGCTTAGGCTCTACTTGTTTTTAAGGTTAATTTTTTTCTTAATTTCAAAAAGCTAAAAAAACAATTATTGTTTTAGTTTTTTTTTTTTGGTACAGAATTCTTTCGTTTTTTAGAAGGGATTTTCATTTGTTATTTAACATGACACAACAAATTTTCTTACACACACAATATTTTGTGGGCTCACAATTTTTGAAAAAAAAAAAATTACGACACGCAAAACGAATCTCTATAACATTACATAATCACTTTTTCTACAACATAACTCTTATAAAACCCTTTTTAGAATGTTCATGTTTCTTACTCTTTATATATCATACTAAACTCTCTCCCTCCTGCCACATGCGGACATGCTTTGTGTGCAAGTGTTGTTACAATTTTTTGAAAAAAAAATAAATAAATTATTTTTTGAATCTTTAACAAAAATTATGGGATCTAATTCAATCCGTAGAAAAAAATCAACTTGTGATCTCTTTAGATTCTAAAATAGTTCCAGTTAGTTGAAATCAGGGTCCTTCTGAAATTCAAAGAAAATTCACGTTAATCATTCAAAAAAATTAACATAGGTCTATTTTGAATTTCAGAGGAATTAGAAGTCTACTTTTTTTAAAAGATTAAATTAGGTCTCATAATATTTATTGAGTATTCAAAATATACTTTACTCTAAAAATAATAAAAGAAGAGAAGCTACTCTCAAAGTTCCTTTCCAAGATCTCTTTGTTACTCCTCTTTTATTTTTTAATACATTTAAAATTCTCTTAAAACAAAATTTCGGAGGCAAAAATCTCCATCTTTAAATATGTAAATATAAAAAATTTCTTAAGTCGAACCTGCCAAATATATTTAAGAATGAAAATGAGACTTAACACAGTGACAACTAGCACCCTTCTATCAATATATATCTTCAATTTTTTTTTAAAAAAAAAAACACTAAATTTCGTGTCTTTAAATTCATTCGCTTTCAATATGGTTTGACACGCTCCTATCCACTGGTTGAATATAGTTTCCCTCCGTTGCTGCTCTCGAGAAGTTGCTAGAATGAGACTCACTCTTTACATTGAAAAGAGGGCAACGAATTTTTTTTTTTTTGATAATAAAGAGGGCAACGATTTACCCTAACGAACTTGTGTTACTTGTTATTTATGAGAATAATTATATTCACAATTTTTTTTTATAAATTTATAAATTATATTTTATTTTATCGGTAAGATATAATATAATTCAGAAAAATATTTTTGCAGTTAATGCAGATAAGTTATCTGCATTTATTTTCAAAACGATGTCGTTTTGAGATTGGGTAATTAAAAAATTATAATTACAAAGACTATAATAACCTTGAAATAAATTAAAATTATAAAAATATCATGATTTTCGCCCAAAACGACGTCGTATTAGACTTACGACAAATAACTTATCTGCAGTAATGGTAGAAAAAACGAACCCAATGTAATTTGTAAACAAAAAATTTGTAAATATACCATTTATTATTTATTGCTTTCTTATTTAGATTGTTTATATAAATTTAATGAAGTAGTGTATGGTATTAAATATTCATCGGGTCAGATGTTTTTTTTTCCTCATCCACCTAATCAATAATCCATGTGATAAGAGTTGGTTTTTGACCACGGTAGCTCTTATTGAATAATTAATTATCAAATTGACCTTCATTTTAAATTATTTCAAAAAATTAACCTCCTCAAAAAATATAATACCAATTTATCCATGTTTGACCGTTGACCACTAAGCCTACCCAGGTATCACCTTCCCTATCCGGGTATTTTTTGAAAATTTTTACCTACCCGAATATATTTCTTGAATCTGGAAAAAATGCTTGAATTATTTTCCGAGTAAGAAGGGTGGTACCCGAGTAAATGTTGATGACCGAAGAACATGTGAAGTCACCGGAGAGAGAATTGCTTGTAACAATGACAGGGATCATCAAGAAAGTTGATGACTGAAGCCAGAAGAAATAATACAAGAATATCCAAAACAAAGGATATGACTCAAAAGCCCTCTGGAACCAACCTTTCACTTCTTCAGGTGTGTGTTATTCGATCCTTTCACTTCTTCGGGTGTGTGTTATTTGAACCAGCCTTTCTTTGTCTTTTACTCTAAACATGGTGAAAAGAAAAAGAAAAAGAAACAAGCGCACCTCAGGGGAATAATTCCAACCTTTTTCTCTTAACAATAATAGCATTGAGATGACATTGGATACACAAATACACAAATATATGATGCATATGATGCAGACAGATTCGAACCAACACATCAGTTCCTCCTTTTAATTTATGATAACCTTTTACAATTTAACAAACATTTTCACTGCCCTTTTTATTTATGCTCATTCAAAGAAAGTTTCCTAAAATCTTTCTCTTTCACTCCTTATTTTATTATTAAAAACGTGTTGGTTCTATCTCACTTTTTTTTTTTGGTTTTCTTTATTGAAAGAATAAAAATTAACGACCAGAACATGACATAGACAGAGCTTGTTCTAGAGGAATCAGCGACGAAGAAGACGGTGAAACCTCAAGGAAAAAACTTAGGATCTCCAAAGACCAGTCAATTATTCTCGAAGAGGGCTTCTTTTTACTGGAGACACAATCCTTTGTTTTGGATAAATATGCAACATTTATTCGGGTACCACCCTCCCTACTCGGGTAAATAATTTAAGTATTTTTCGAGATTCAAGAAATATATCAGGCATCACCCTCCCTACTCGGGTAGGTAAAAAATTTCAAAATATACCCGGATAGGCTTGGTGGGAAACAGTCAAACATGGACAGATTGATGTTATGTTTTTTGAGGAGGTTAAATTTTTGAAATAGTTTAAAATAAAAGTCAATTTAGTAATTAATTATTAATTGAGGGTTATAGTGATAAAAAGCCGATAAGAGCTAGGTTAATTTAAATTGAAATTAAGCCGATTGTTATTTTCAGAAAAAATTATATAACTACAAGGTGCAAACTTGTAATATATCCTAATTCATTTATTTGGAGTTGGTGGAGAAAAGAAAGATCATTAACTAATAATTTGCATGCATGTGGCTCCGAAAATAAAGGTATTTCATTTTCATGTAATTAGTAGCAGTAACACATTTTTCAATGGGCTTCAATGGGACAGCTCTAAATGCATGGAAGGCGACATGCACGAGATACAAAGTAGACCCACAATAATATCACAAAATTAAAAGTATTTATATGTTTCATGAAAGATCCTACATCGTGTCTCAGTCTCATACCAAATTTTACAAAAAACCCGTTTCGCCAAAAACATTTCCATTTAATGAAAACTCAGTGTTTTTCTCCTTGCAGTTGCAGGTATGATTTCATCTTCATGAGGAAAATTGATCATTTTTATAGTTCGGTCGTTTGCTTCTTTTTATAATATTAATGTTCACCCAACATTATACAATAAGTATCGTCAATATTTAAGTCTTCACACATAGAACTGAAAATAAATCAATTTCAAAGTATAAGTAAATTGGTTAATAGCTATTTTTTTTTACAAGTGAATAATTAATGTTTAATCAAGTTGATTAGGATTAATCAAAATCACGAATCAAATCATGAAACAGAAAAAATATATATATATATATATATATATATATATATATATATATATATATATATATATATATATATATATATTACAGTCTCCTTTTAAAAGTTATAATTAACACCAATACTTTTATGTGCTCTTGATCTCATGTTACTTTGATTTTTTGTTGGACCACTTGTATTAACACCTATTTCCGGATGGCTAATAATTACATGTTTTTTCTTGATTAAATGCATAAGTTATAAATAACTAAATTGAAAACAAACAAAAAATTAAGTGCTGAATTTTTTAGTAATGCTAAACATACAAAAGTTCCCAAGGAAAAACTCATATAATTTTTAAATCTTTATATTTATAATATGTAAAGTCACACTGATACTTCTTTTATAACTACCCAATGGTTATACATAATAGATAAGTATTCTCTTTCTAATCTCTCTAGCTATAGCTATTCTCATCCATTTTCTTTCCCAATGATTTAGATTATATGCTTAAATGTGAAGATTAGAAAAACTGGGTGGAAAAAATTTAAAGCTTATTAAAAATTAGAAAAGTGGGTGGAAGTTTTTTTAAGGACAATTGAGAAAGACGAGAAGTAAATAAAATAAAATATTCAGTTAAATATTTTATTGAAAAATAATCGGTAAAATGTTTAACATTTTTAAATTGAAGAAATATTGGAATATTTTAAAAAATGAATGATAAATAGTTTCCAGAATAATATTCAAAAGTCTCACATTTTTTTTCTCCCTTTTATACTTGAGGAGAGTTATATTAACAAATTTTTATTTCCAAAAAAAAAAACAATTTTTTTTTTTACAAACTTGCAAATTACATTATGTCTTATCAGTAAGATTTCGTTTAAGAGTATCTTACAAACTTACAAAAAAAGTTTGTAAATAATAATAGGGGGAGATTATACTTACTACATTTTTTTTACTACTTCTTACTACCAAATCTTAACCGTTGATTTCTGTCAATCTAACGGTTATAATTTATTGGATCACACTTATTAATTAATTTTTTATTAATAAATTATAACCGTTAGATTGACAGAAATCAACGGTTAAGATTTGATAGTAATAAGTAGTAAAAAAAAGTAGTAAGTATAAACTTTCCCATAATAATATAACATAGGAGGGGTTATATTGACAAACTTTTTGTCTTACAAACTACATTAAGTCTGACTAGACAAACTTCAATCAAGAGTATATATAATTAGTCAAACTTAATATAATTTATAAATTTGCAAAAAAAAAAAAAATTGTCCCCTTTTTATATATATAGTTCTGGGAATGATAATACAGAAGTCTCTCACATTGTTATTTCACAGTTTCTCTCTCCTTCTCCTTTGATGACAGGTTCCAGTGCCTAACATGGAAGAAAACCCACCTCCAAGCTTTAGGATTTCATCGGTGGTACCAGCAACACCAACACCTCAGGGCGATAAAAACGGTGAGTACCACCTCGGCTATATGGACCTGCTCATGAAGCTCCACTACATCAGAGCCGTTTATTTTTTCAGCACGGAAGCTGTTCAAGGCCTCTCAATTCAAGAACTTAAGAACCCCATGTTCACACTCCTCGACCCGTACGCTCACCTCTCGGGTCGGATCCGGTTATCCGAATCCGGTAGCCCCTTCATCAAGTGCAACGATGCTGGTGTGCGCATCGCTGAATCTCACTGTGACAAGACCCTACAGGAATGGGTCCATCAAAACGGGTATTCCTCCGTTGAAGATCTTGTCCATGATCACGTGCTTGGTCCTGAAGTTAGTTTCTCTCCTTTGGTTTTCTTCAAGGTATGTGTGATCCAAAGCTATTATCTTGTTCATTTATTGCTTACTTTTTATTTTTATTGTTCAGGGTTCTGAACTTCTGAGACCCATTTTGTGCATGAGATTGTTTGTTTCACGGGTCAAATATTTTCCTATGGTAACTGACCCACACGTATTATATATCTAACATTTTTAAGACCTTCATTCTTTTAGCATACATCACCCGTACGGAATGAATTTTTTTTATGTGAAATGAAATATGTGAGAATATCTCAATTATGGAAATATAAACTAATAATGATAAGGCAAAATATTAAAATAAAAAATATGAGAAAAAAAATAATTATTAAAGTTGTCTCTCATGATTCCATGTTATATAATTTAGAGAATCCGTTCCCTTGTTCCCAAGGTATATTATTGTATGATGTAAATGTTTATGGCCTTGTAATTTTGACGATTGATTTGCATGTAATAATTAACAAACAAAAAAAGTAAGATCGAAATTCTTAATATCATGAAAGTGTGACGGTTTACTAGATTTTGGTATGAATAATAACATATATATCACTAACTAATCCTACAAAAGAAGTAATATCAATGAATATATATAGCCCTAAACCAATGGCGGACGCACCTTAGTGCAAGTGTTTGCACTTGCAGACATAAAGTTGGAAAAATTTGTTTTTTCACATTAGATGAGTGCTTCAAGTCAAGTAAAAAAAAAAGAAATAGAAAGATTAAAGGAAAAAGATAAAAATATGTCCAATCCAACCAACCCCTACAATTAAAGCTTAAAGCTTAAACCCTAGTCCATTGCTTTGTCTCTTTTTTTTTTTTTTATAAATTTTATTACCTCCAAATCTTAATAAACATCAACATTCCTGAAATTCAATCTTCATCAAGTGGAGGAGAATCTCACGGAATTTTTTATGTTTTTTTGTGAAATAAAAGTGGCCAACTTTGGATCAAATAGACATCGACAAAGGTTGGTTTTTTACCGATTAACTCTTGTAATTGTACTATATTTGACAAATGTCTTTTTGTGGTGTTTATTTTTTTAAAATTATCATTATCTATTATTTCCTTAAAACTTTGGTTGATTCACCAAAATTTTATTTTTGAAGTGGAAACAAAAATTGAATCATGATTATGATCTTTAAAATAAAAAAAATAAAATTGTGCAGACATAAAAAAATATCCTGAGCCCGCCACTGCCCCAAACCCTAAAAGTAGTAAAGAACTACGGAAATGTAGTTTCAACTTGATTTCTATGATTACAGAAAAGAGAAAAAAAAAATTCTCCGACAGTAAATTGTGTTGATGGATAAATAATTTGAGATATTTTGATTAATATGATAATTAAAATTGTAAAGTTTTCAAATTATTTTATTTTATATTCTCATAAGATTATGATTTTGGACCTAGATATTTAAAATTATCAAGTATATATATATAGATATATATATATATATATATATATATATATATAAACTAAAAAATTTAACACTTCATTTGAACAATTGATTTTCACCAATATGACAATAATAATTTATTAAAACTTAATAATTAATTAATGGTTGTAACCTAGTAAATTAAAATCATCAAATTGGCAGAAATTAATAGTTCAAATGCAGTGTCAAAATATTTTAATAACACCCGTGTCAAATGATCTGGCCATATATACTCCATGAGTCGAAAGATTCTTCCCCTCTATCTATCTATATACACACATAGATTAATATTTTTTATGTTATAAGAGATAATTTTATATATCCTACATACACAAAAATATGTGGAACCCACGTGGGTTCATATGAGAAGAAGAGATAAAAAAAGAAAATGAATCTATATATTTTTATATATGTGTAGAAGATAAAATTATCTCATATAACAAGAGAAACATTAATTATATATATAATAACATAACTCCCAACTGCTAAAGAAATATTATGAATTATAAAATGGAAAAGATAAATATAATTTTTATTTCTAATTCCGTAATTATAGCTAACAAAATAAACTTAGACAAAATTAAGTGATCATGGAAATTGTTATTTGATACTCATCAACCATGCTATCTACTTGCACTTTGTGCTTATGGTAGCACGTGATATATATCTTGCAAAGCATATTTTGCCGTGTATATATTTAGCTATTTGGAGGGGGAAGTGTATATTTTGCACTGCATGCCTACTTAAAAGTTGACTTGACGGATGGACATATCCTCTTATTTAATTATTATTTTTTAGAATAAAGTGGTTTAAACCTAATCTAAGATAAAAAAATATTAAAAATTGATATACCCGTTCTAATTATTTAGATAAGTAGACTTTTTTGCATATATCACAAGTTTTAATTTTTTGAGTTAATTCCGAAATTAATTTCGAATCAAAACTTAATTAATTACAATTAAAGCTTTTCGGCTCTCTCAAAATTTTTAAGTAAACACATGCTAACATAAATACTTAAATTGCCAATTGACTTTTTAATTTTTTATAAATTGTCTACATTTTTAACATCCTCATTAACTTCATGGTACAACTTAATTATTGATTTGAGTAGTTATAATTAATAAACATAAATGAATGCCAAATCGTGAAATTAAATGCACCGGTGGTTTCCTTTCCCACTTGTTTGGACTCTTATCCGGAAGGTTTTATTGCCATGTGAGTATTGTCTAGATCTCACCATTGATAGTACATTCATTAATTTTGTACGTAAAACTAAAGTTTGTATGTATTATTATATGTTATGTTATATTAAATACATGAGCTGTGATACTTATATATATATATGGAAAAAATATTTCTCAAGCAGTTTGAGATAATTTTATTTTCGGCTACCTCAAAACTACATTGTTTTATTTATTTATTTCCTTATATTAATTGATTCACCTTTGAATGATTATGATTCTCTTTTTCTCTCTCTTCCTTTATCACCATTGATTCATCTTTATACGGTTATGATTTACTAGTCGGAGATAAGATTATATCAAACAACTTGAAAAATGATAAGCCATATATATATATGCAAAAGACTAAGATAAAATTTTAATAAATAAGGGGAAAATACACCAAAGGTCAATATTTAAAATTAGCAAATCTTATTATATATATCTTGTTATTTAAAAGGAATACCGATGCAACTTTTTCTGGAAATGGATTCCTATCACGTGGAAAAAAATATGATATCGTCGTGTAAGAAGATTACAACTATACAAAAGTAAATCAACGGTTATGATTTCGTAACTATCTATTTTAATATTTTTTTCTCTCCTTCTTTATTATCATTGATCCACCTTTATATCATTATGATTACCCACATGACATGGTCACGTGAATTTTCACATGAGAAGATCCGAATCCACTTTTTCTAAAGGGTGCACCCTAAAACCCAGCTAGCATAGAAGCTATCTGCAGGATCAGTTCTAATAAATAGTATTCTTCAGTTTACTACATGCTTTTTGTGTTGGATTATTAATCCCATGTGGAATAGTTTAATCCGACCTCTAGCCCTACAAAACCGTATTCTTTAGTTTATTTAATGCATGCTTTTGTATACGCAATTAAATGTATCTGGTGCTGTTATGCTTTGCATCCAGTTCACTTATTTCCAATGTGGAGGGTTGTGCGTGGGACTCAGCTGGTCCCACATGCTTGGAGATGCTTTTTCAGCTTTCAACTTCATCACCATGTGGACTAAGACAGTGGCCGGTCACGTGCCACCAAAATCTCTTCCCATGCCAAATCAAAGAGAAACTGAAGTCCTACATAATTCGGTTTTTGAGAATCCTATTTCTTTGAAAAGGACCACAACTGTTGGAGAACACTGGCTTGCTGCTAATGACACAAAAGTGGTTACTCATTCTTTTTACCTCAGTCCCAAGCAACTTGTCCATTTGGTAACAGCCACGTCTTCATGTAATGAAATTCAAATCACCAAGACCTCATCGTATTTTGAAATTCTATCAGCGTTAGTGTGGAAATATATATCTGACATCAGGGAAGACTCTGGGCCAAAGATAGTGACAATTTGCACATATGACACTGATCGCAGAGAAGATGAGTTCCCTACAAATGGCTTGGTGTTGAGCATAGTTGAAGCAAATGTGGCAGCTGGTAGTGAATCAGATGTATCAGGTTTGGCAAGACTGATTGCTGAGAAAAAGATGGTTGAGAACGATGCGGTGAAAAAGTTGGTGGAAGAAAATGAAGGGAAAGAGGACTTTATAGTTTATGGAGCGAACCTGACATTTGTGGATTTGGAAAAGGCTAACTTTTATGGGGCCAAGCTCAATGGACAGAAACCAATTCTTGCTAATTGTGCCTTGCATGGAGTGGGTGATCAAGGGGTCGTGTTGGTGCTTCCAGCAGGGGAAGATAATGAAGATGACATTAATGGAAGAATAATAACAGTTTCTCTGTCAGAGAAAGAACTTGACCAGTTGAAATATAAGCTCGGAGAAGAATGGGGTATTGCTTCGTATCCATTCTGATGATCCAAAGCATAACTTGCTGGATTATTTTCTTCCTTTTGTAATTCTGTTTGCTATAATAATATTGTGTGTCTGCAATAAAAGTGTAATAATGCATCTAATGTTTTAGGAAGATATATTAATGTACGTAGTTAGTGGAATATATCAACGTGTATGGATTGATCGGATAATGGTGTATAGGGTATGCAATGGTAATAATGATTTCCATTTTCCAGTAGGAGGTGGCAAAGTAAGTAATCCACCTCCAATCCATTTCAAAATGAGCCATTCTGTCGTCTCTGTTGTTTTTAAAGTGATAGGATATTGTGACACCCAAGTTATGTTAGACCCATGTGACACCTAGTCAATCTCACCGTTAGATCGCTTATGTTGATCCAACGGTTATATTTATTTCCATCTTTGTATGGTCATGATTTTCCAAATTTAAAGTGAAATCATTAAATATGGGAAATCATAACCATACAAAAGGTAGAAATAAATATAAAATATTAAATTTGGGAAATCATGACCATACAAAGATGGAAATAAATATAACCGTTGGATCAACATAAGCGATCTAACGGTGAGATTGACTGGGTGTCACATGGGTGTAACATAACTTGGGTGTCACGATATCCTATCCGGTTTTTAAAAGTGAAAAAATTATCTCAACCCCGCCTCACCCATTCCACCCCCATCAACTTGCCTACTTAATAACAAGAGTTATATTTTTAAGTTTTTTGTTTACAAAATATATTATGTATCATGGGTATATATATTACTCATAATGCATAGTATAGTTTATAAATAAAAAAATTATAAATATAACCATACTCTATTAATAATATGAAAAATTTTCAAAAAAATATCAATCGAAGTCAAAAAAATATGCAAAAAGGTCATTGATTAGTGTTTTTTATAAAAAAGAAATTGAAAAAAAACAGAAAAAAACTACTTGACAGTTCAACCTACCCTTATACGTGACGAATTCAATTAGGTTTAGAATCTCAATTCAACCAGCCAAATATGACGGGTCAAATGGGTCAATCGACTCAATCTTATGTATTTGACTCGTTTTCTCACATTTATTTTTAGCCAACAAGGTTGTTCTTATACTGGTGTGGTGTTAGCAAAATATTTAACCGAATCTTTACTCAACTAGAAAGTATTTTGTCAAAAAGAATATTTCAAAAATGTTTAAAAGTATAAAAAATGTATACATAATTTAAGTAAATTAAATAATATTTTACTAATCAGATAAAAAAAAAATTATTTGAGCAAAAAATGCATAATTGTTTTTAGAAATAAAGACTCTAATTTATTATAGAGTATTAAATTAAGAAAATCGCCTGATTCATCAAAATTATAAAATAATATAATCTTAAAATATTTATTAAAATAATATAATTTGATCATTTTGATATTTTTTTATCACATGTGTCAATAAACGTCATGTGTCATCACCATGTACTCACTTCTAATACATGTTTTTCCTTTGTGGAGGACTCTACATAATCAAAACTAATAAAATTATATCATTTTAATAAATAACTTTTAAATTATATTATTTTAATATTTTTTAAAAACTATAGCATATTAATATATAATAAAGAAAAAAGGATAAATTATAAATTAAAATAATAAATGCAAACATAAAATAATATTAGAGGAAGCAATTTTAATGAGTGTTGGCTCAATTAGTGAGAGTAAAATACATTAATTGGTAGGTCACAACATTTTTCCTTTCCTAAAATATTTAATAATAATTAATAATAATAATAATAATAGTAATAGATTAACATTTCTCATGCAACAAAAAATAATGCTATCAAGTTATTTCTTGTGACACCAAAAACATGTTATTTTGGAGTTTATAAAAAAAATGCAGCCAATTTTAATAAAATTCATAATACAGAAGAAAAATAAAATTTTCAAAATATTCTATATTTTTTTCCTTAATCCAAAACTATATTGTTTTAAGTTTTGGGATTGTAGAATATAATTTTATCTCTTATCTATATATATATGGGAAATATTACTCTCCTTTTACATGAGGTAACTTATCTCATTTTCTCTCACTTCGATTTTCGCACCCCACTTTTTTTTTTTCTTATAATGGTGGGACCCACCCATTTTCTCTCTACCACATAAGATAACTATCTTATGTGGAAGGAGATTAATAAAACCCTATATATATATATATAAAGGAAACCCAAACTTTGAAAAGTTTTCTTACGTGGCACTCCCTGCTTAATTCTGAGAATTGTGTTCACACTACATGGCATCTTAAAACTTTCCTTCTTTGGTAAATCTTTAAATTAAATAAATAATAATTTCATTTAAAATTCGAAATAAAAAATAAAGTTAACCATTTGTGGTGGCAGACAACTCATTTAATGCACCACTTCTTCTTACATTTGACTTCTTCAACTCTTTTAAATGCTTTCAAATTGATCAGCTCTTTTTTAAAATTCGAATTATGTTTTGATTTCAAATTTTAAATTTTAAATGTTCCACTTCTTTCGTGGATTACGTCTATAAAAAAACCAAACTTATTCCCTCAACTATTTCGTTCTATATGCCTACTTCTCATAAATGGATCCTTGCCCTTTCGTGCGCTCAGAGTCAGTAACCTCACCCTCAAGATTCCTGTTGCTTCCAAACCCGCTTGCTCTGTCGTTCACCCTTCTTCCTCTTTATGCAAGATCGAACTCAAGAACTTCCCTCTTCAATCCGTTGTCGTTCCCTTCATCCCTCCTGATAGCAACTTCCATGACTCTCAGGTGCAGCCTATCACTGCCACCTTCCACCTTAGCAAGTCCGATGTTGACAGACTCGCCCATCTTCGCCGGGAAGCTCTGCTTGAAACAAACAGAAAACCAAAAAACTAAAGACAAAGAGGTTCATCGCTGGTCCCCCAACCTTGGTTCTATTATTTATTTCAAATTTTCTACCACTGCCAACCTGGGATTTTTTCTTTTCTTTTTTTGCCCCCTAATTTGTTTCTATTAAATTAATGCACGACATGTTGATCCTTTTTTTTAAACAAATTTATTTCTTCTTTTCTTCTTACTTATTTGTTGGATTAATGTAACAGGTGTCGTCTGTTGTTCTGAAAATGGCTCTGCATTGCCAGGGATGTGTGGACAAGATTCGCAAGATTGTGTTGAAAAACAAAGGTGTGTCTATTTTTTTGTAATGATTTTTTTGGGGTTTAATTCTCTTTGTGATTTGGCTAATTTGGCAAGAATGTGATTTTAATAGGGGTGTAGGTGTTCATGAGGGCCATAGACAAGGAAAATGATACTGTAACTGTGAAGGAGACAATAGACGTGAAAGCTCTTATGGCAAATTTGATGGAGAAGCTTAAGAAGAAGGTTGACGTGGTCCCTCCCAAGAAAGACAAGGAAGGTGCTGGTATATTTTGATATTTGTTCTCCTTTTCCTTCATATTTTTTATATTTTGCTAAATTTAGTAAATCATTAGGCATTGCTATGTATATGGTTTTAAAAAAATTCATAGTTAAGATTCAGAACAACAGATTTTTTAGCTGGTATGTATTGGACTACATCGATTCACATGTCAATGATATCTCCCAGATTTTGAGTTATCTTAAATTTTGTAAGTTCCTGCCATCCTTGATACAAAATTTGCCTGCGTATTGTGACTCATTTTATGAATTTCCTTTCATTTTTTTTTATTGTGTTATAACTTTTATTTAGTGTTACATGATCTTTGGTTCCAAATGCATAAGCAAGAATATAAGATCACAACTACAGGTAGAGTGGCCCTTTTCTTGTACTTTCAGGGACTAATTTGATCTTTTTTATTGTCAGGGACTGAAAAGGACTTCGTAGATATTGCTAGGGACTAAAAAGGGTGTTTACTCTATTATATATTCATATTTCAGTCTACTTGGCAATCTGACAAGGTTAGGTGGTCGATGCTTTTGCCGCCCATATCTTGGGATGATCTCTCATATTTTAATAGTCTTCGGATTGTGTCACTGCCATGCAATTGAGCTGTTTGTGTCCTCTTGAGTTTTTGTCAGCAAGCGAAGTTAGGGTTCGGTTTGAATTTTAAGGTTTGACTGGTTGAGGTTTCTGGGTCTGGGAGTTTATTTGTTATTGTCATTTTCATTCTACATATGTTTTTGTTGCGACTTGCAAGTCGAGTAATGAGTTACGTTGGTTGGGAGGGTGCAGTCGAGAAATAGTCAAAGTTATAAACAAATGTCTTGGATACAAATTGTTTGAGTTTCACATTTTTTCAGGACTCAAACTACGTACGTGGTTTTTTTTTCGGCTGCTTATGTTATAATGTTCTTCATTCATGAGCTGCAAGTCAAGCAAACTCCCCGATAGAGCTAGCTTTAATTTTTTTATCATGTTGCCTTCAATAGAGGGAATGAAACATGAGGGAAATATTCGGGGGATCGTGGTTATGTGTTTCCTTATTTGCACTGAGTGACAGCGAAGGAAAAGAATGGAATGGGCAAAAAGTAACACAGTATACAAGAATATTAAAGTCTGTTTGATTGAGTTTTTTTCTTCATTTTTATTTTCTCAAAATTAAAGAGCTTTTCGTTTTGTGTGTTTGGATATAAGTTTAAAAAAAGGCAAATAGATGGTGTTTTTTTTTGGAAGCAAAGACTTATTATTGCTTTTGAAAAAAGCCAAAATTCTATTTTTAAAGTGTTTTTTGGGTAAATAATTGCTTTTCAAATATTGATTAAAATACAACAGTTTCGATTTTTTCAAAAGTCCTTTTACAATTAATAATTTTGAATTCGTTTTAAAATCCATTCAAACTGGCTTTAAATTTTTAAGTGTTGGGTCGCTTGGTTATATTATTTAAGTTAGTGATCTTAGAATTTAAGAGCTTTTATTTTATCTAACTTTTTGTGAGCTTTTATCAGTTTGTTTACGTGACCGTAGAGTTTTATTTTCTTCAATTTTTCAAGTAGTATTCTATTTTTTCTTCTTCTTTTATTTCTATGGAACACTGCATCCATTATCAG